AATAAACAAAACGACGTAACTAGGCAGCAGTCAGAGTGCACTGAGTCCATATTGAAAAATAAAAACATCCGATTAAAACTAAATGGTTCTGTGTAGTCATCAATTGCCGATTGAACATGTGAATATAAAAGGAACCCGAATACTCCAAATAATTCAATATGAAGGAGGCTCTGATACCAATTGTTGTAATAAATCCGATAATACTTTAATCTTCATATTGAAATTATCTGGAGAATTGACTAAGCGGAAGCGTACCTGACTCCATTGGAGATGACCTTTAGAGATCCGGGAAACAGAGGCTAGGGTTTGCGTTTTCTAGTTGATACACACCCTCGGGATTATCTCTCTAGCGATGAGATGCCGAAAAACGGAATGACGTGTTCAACTAGGGGCCATAACCCCTTATTTATAGAGAGTGCTTAACCCTAATCAGCCCATCATTGATTAGGTCAAGCTCATGGGTCTCTACACATTTGGACCCTATACCTTATTAGATAACTTATTGGCCCACTTAAATTAATATCCATAGGACCACTAATTTTTTGGGCCTAAATATAAGATATCATATAACATACAATTAAACCCAATAAATAATATACTGTGAATAATACATGTAGTATGAGTCCAATAGTCTAACATATTATAGTTTCATCTAATAGTTTTGTTGCTTTTATTCTTACTACCCCAAATAGAAAATAAAAACTACAACTAAAACATCCATCTTCACCAGCCAGCAGACATGGAGAATTGGTTTGACTAGCAACCAACAAAGAAAACTCAATTGAGCAGAAAGTATCTGAATCATCGATTTGACTAGCCATCGAAAAGAAGATCCAATTGAGCGTGTTGGGAATATTATCCCGGCCTACTACTATTCACAGGCCCAAGGCTTCACCCCGGTATGGAGCCCAGTTGGCGAGGCCCATGCAGGCCCCTCGGGCCCATTGAGAGCCATTTAGGCCCACTCGGCCTGCCCGGCCCATTTCGGCTCGTTAAAGCTTGTCTAGCTCATTAGGCTAGAAAGCCCCCTCCCCCCTTCTATAAATAGGAACCTATACTTCAATTTAAAGGATGGGATTTTTGGGCTTCTTCTCTCCTCGTAGGGAGACTGCTTCTTCTTTTCTTTAGATTAGAGCTCCATTAATGGAGCTTCAACACTTGTATATGTATTTTGGTGAGAAATGAAGTACATTTTTGGGCGCAGCAACCGGTGCCGGTCGGTCTTGAACCAGCGTCGTTCGGAACGTTTTTTCTCGCACAAATGAGCCTGTTTTCAACCGGGGCCGGTCATCTGACCAACTGGCATCGGTTGGGTCGATTTTCTGCTAAAACACAACGACGTGCAAGCTTATTCTTGATGGGGAAATTCCATCTTCCTCAATGTTAATCAAATATTGCTTTCATACCTGATCTTGGGTTCGAATAGACTGAAAGATGCCATTCTTTAACCTATATAAAGCTCTCAAATCATCAAACAAATACATTCCATTCCATAGATTAATTCATAGCTTTTATATTTTGTTCTTGCTATTTTTCTTCAAGTTCTTTGGAGAAGAAGCTATTTCTCTCCTCTACAATTGGTTCTAGGTAATTTTTCTTGTATGTTATTGTATTTATTTGTTCTTAGTTACACTTTTGTAATTAATATGAGCATTAGAGGCTAAATTCTTAGCTAAGGCTAGGGATGAAATTTTATGCCCACTAGGTGTTTGATAAAAGTTCTAAACCAATAAATTGTGATTTATCCTTTATATATTGATTGTTTATGACTATGGTGTACAACATAGAAGTATGTTAAATTTAGTTTATACTTGCAATTAACGTTGAAGTCTAAACTATGAACATTAAAGGATAAACATATATAGTACCGAGAATAGAAACATATCCGGTCTTATATGATACGGGTGTGATGTCTTGATATTCAACGGGGTTTTCGGTAGATGAATGTAATCCGTAACGGGACTTACACGTAATGAAAACCACGCTCTCGCTGCCTTAATCGGAATTGAGAATATATTAGCGACATCGTATTCATAATTATTGGCAAAGAACTAATATTTAACCCTATTAAAGCATTTAAGTGATTCCCAAAGCCTTAGTTGTTGTTATCAATCACTTTAAACTCAAATTAATTTAAGTTATATCCCTGAAAATTAAAGAGAAGAACCAAGTTGTTGTTTTCACAACAACACACAAATCAAAATCCCTGCACTTTACTCATTTCTTTATTTAAAGTTATCTACTCTCGGACTTAAATTAAACAACGTTTCCCTGTGGATTCGACCCGGTATTTCACCGGAATTTATTACTATATCGGCACTTGTACACTTGCAAGTTTAGCACGGTCAATATCTCTTACAAAAATAAAATAAAAGGAAAAAAATGTTCAACGAAGCAAGACGCCCTAAGGAGCCAATTAGACTCTAAGGACGGGCAACTAGGTGTCAGATCAATTATTCGGGATGTCTAGACTAAAATTAGAGCGCCGCCTGGCCAATGACTAAGCTAGGCAGGGACTCGTTAGGCGTTTAGAGCCATTGTTAGAGTAGTGACAATAACTAAAATAATTATCTAAAATATACGATCATTGACCAATAAAAATCAATTTGACCAAGTTATATGAGATCGAGAGAGTACATATTTTTTATGAAAATTTTGATATACTTATTTTAAAAAGTACATACACGGTTTATAATTAATGTTTTCATGTTGTTATGACACGATTTAGGATGTTTTTAACTAAAATTTTCAGGTATGATCTCGTCTTATCTGTATAAATCTGATTTGGTTTGGTTTTAACTGGTTAGATCACAGATTACCACATTAGAAAATTTCACTCATGGTCTGTTATTATATTAGTGAGAAATTTATACTCCCTCCGTCCATAAAATTCTTCCCGGTTTGATTGGATGAGAGTCTAAGAATGTGAGAACTGAGAATAAAGTGAAAATGCGTGGTTATGATTGAGTAATAAAAATTCTTTGAATGTTAGTTACACAAAACTTTCGAACAAGGGTGAAGAGAAGAATATTTTTGAAACTCCCAAAATGATAAATGGAAAAAATTTATATGGGATGGAGGGAGTAGCTTCTATACTTTTATGAGATTATGTTTAACGGATAACGTTTTCATATATTTTTCATACTTTATATAATTTCGCATTAAAAATATCATTGAACAAACTTGGCTATTGACAAGAAAAAAATCTATATGACCAAGTTTGTGGAATGGAAAAGCATAAGTAAAATAAAAAAACTGAATAAAAAATTATGCAGAAATGCATGCATGTCTAAGTTTATGTTTCTTTGGAAGTCTAAGTTTATGTTATTTGTTGAAAATTGAAAGCTTTTGAAGGCTTACATGAAGAGGCGTATAGCATGTGAAATATTATTGTGCATAAACATAATACGGAGAATTTCCCCAACGATGACTAACGGGCTCTTTATAAAATTTTGGGAAAAAGTACAAATATATTCATATAGTACAGGTTTGAGAACAAATATATTCTTGTTCTATTTTTCAGAACAAAAATATCCTTGAATTATATGTTGAAGTGCATATTTTTTTTGGGATAGGAAACTGGCATATTATATTAACTCAAAAACTCGCAGTATAATTAGAAGAAGTGGAAAACAAAAGTTTTCACCCAACATGAATCTCCTTCTAAACAAACTACCCATAAGCCCACTGCCCCCCTCGCTTCTTTATCAGACATATAATAGTTCACCCTAAATAGAGCGAGACTAATCGCTGATAATATGAGAGCTTTGAGGCTATAATTAACGGCTGAGTCAGCCTGATTGCATCTGAGCAGAAATCTAGCAACTAAGGTAAGCCAATCTAAGAAACTACCACCCATGTTATTTGACCTAATAAAAACAAAGTGCAATATATGTTGAAATGCATATATATCCCCGAACTTTTAAAAAGTGCAACAATATCATCATGTTCTTATAAAGGAACAAATTTACCCTTATTGACTTTAAATAGATAAAATAAATTTCAAAAAACACAAAGAAATAAAATATAAATTGGAAATTTAAAAATAAAGATTTATTATTATGTTAAAATATTAAATCTTTAATTTTAAATTTACAAATTAATACTTATCCATTGTAAATGAAGCACTTCAAATTCATAGATTTTAATTTTAGTCTTGTTGCGAAGTTTTGAACACATCATTACATTCTTTGATTTTGTTTAACTTTAATAAAATTAAATTCACTATTTTGTAAACTTGGTCTATTTATCATCATACAAATATGTAATTTTTATAGTGCAAAAAATGCAGAAAATTTAATATATTTTTTTACATTGTGATAGTAAAGTAATGTTTTACAATATTAAATTGTAAAGTTTATATATTAAAATGTTTTACAAAATAGTATTTTTTTACATTTATATAGAAAAGTTTTGAAATAATATTTTATACTAACAATATTAAATTGCGATATGCAAACAATAAAAGGGAAAATTGGACACAAATACTTTTTAAAAATTTTTAATATTTTAATTTCAATTTTATAATTTATTTTTGGTATTTTTTGAAATCAAATTTATCAATTTAAATTCAATAAAGGTAAATTTGCTCTTTTAAAGCTCTAAGGATATATATGCACTTCTACGTATACTTCATGAGTATATTTGTTCAGAAAATTGAAAAAGAGTACTCCCTCCGTTTCTGAAACAAGTTCCACATTTGACTTCACACATATTAAGAAAATAAATTTGACTTTACTGTGGAGTGCACTGTTTGACACTGTTTGAACACTGTTTGACACTGTTTTGATGTAGATAATTTGCCAAATAAGGAAATGTTTGAAGGTGGAACTTAATTTTGTATCTGTCCGAAAAAGAAAGGTGGAACTTGTTTCAGAAAAGGAGGGAGTATATTTATTCTCACAATGTATTTGTACGTTTTTTCTAAAATTTTCCCAATCAAAGAGTCAAGTTACGCACATATGCACTTGACCAGAATTTTATCTATTTATACATAGAGAGTTTCCCCCGGTACATCCTTTTTAAGAAGTCTCAAACGTAGCAAGGGACTAAGGGGGACTTCGATGAAGCCGGGCGGAGATGCGTCCTGGCGCCCCATTCATTCCAATAGAAATCATCTCAGACGTTCTCAAGCAACTTCCGGTGAAATCCCTAATCCGATTCCAAAGTGTGTGCTCTCATTGGAAGGATCTCATCAAGAGCCCATCTTTCATCGCCACCCACCTCCACCACTCCATCCGAGAAAACCCCTCTCTTATTTTCGTACGGTGCGTCGGCTACAGTTGGCCTCCATATTTTCTCGACCGCCACATGAAACACCGCCATGTCCAGGACCCTTTGTTGGATTCCCTCGAGTACGTCGGGATCGCCGGCTCCTGCAATGGCTTGCTCCTCGCTCGAGTCGATCCTCCTGGTACTTTAACATCTCTTTACTTGTGGAATCCTGCGATTAGAGAGATTATAGCGGTGCCTAGAAGCAGATCAATCATGGATTCCTGTCATATTTGTAGTTTGGGATTTGCATTCAGTACAACTGTTAATGATTACAAAATTGTCCTAAACTATGAGAAGTGGTGTAATGTGGATAGTGGGTTTGAAGTTTATTCACTAACCACAAATTCATGGAAGAAAATAGAAACGGCTATCTTTAAGAGCATATACTTTGTGGCTGATTGTATTACTTTGAATGAGTCTATCTTTTGGGTTGGAATAAAGCGAGGTTTGGCATCTGATGGCGGAGAGAATAGGGTCACAGTTTCCTATGATTTAGCAACGGAAAAGTTTAGATTGATGCCGCCGCCTCCTAGATCCGGCATCATAGCTGCTAAGCTGACTGTGTATGAGAACAGGCTTGGCGTATTTCATTACTCTGGTGTTTACCAAGAAAATACTCCAATTGATTTGTGGGTGATTGAGGAAGGCATTGGTAGTTCATGGAGTAAGATATTGACTTGTGACCCTTATCGCCCTTTTCCATACTATGTGGTCCCGGTGACCATTTGGAGGAACCAGATCGTCTGGAATGTTGATCCTCAATTTGTAGTATTGGAAAACCATAAGATTGTTACTGCTGGTAGTTTTTTGTTTGATCCCACTTCTAATGAAGTCAAGGTCCTTTCTTCAGTCAGATTTGGCATCCATGATGCTGTTTTTGGATATGTTGAAAGCCTTGTACCCATTAGATACATCCACACAGGAAAGCATTGATTTTAAAGCATAATCATTATTGAATTATTATAATGCATTGCAGATTTACTGATTGTATTGGCTCTTTGTAGAGGATGATTGTTTAAAGACATGAATGTTTTTTATCATAAAAATTAAGGAGTATTTGTGACGTGTATGTGATTACATTTGCATATACCCTTGAGAAAGGATGTGTGTGCAGAGATGAATTCTGTACACAGAGCAGAGATGAGATTTATTCCCAGCCCACCAACTCTAATACTCAGAAGGAAAATCGTATAGGAGTTGTTCACATTCAGGGACATAGTTAGGGACTTAGGGGGCCAGTAAGCCCCAACACACCTCAAATATCAATTTTAAATTGGCATACAAGAAGCATCAAACTGAGATTCTAAGAGATTAGGGTACTGGTTGCAGTTCTTCCTAATGTTAACCGGATATAAGTGGTTTTCTAAAGATTAAGTAAATATATCAAAAGCACGCGGTATGCCCCATTTGCTGTATAAACGTAGTTGTTTTTTTCTATTCTCTTTCGAATCAAGCTTCCTTGTTTACATTGCCAGAGAAGTCAAACCCGAATAGTCATTAGTGCAAGGCAATTAGTTCTAAAACAATATGGAGTACTAGTTCCACAGAAACAAGAAAAATAAAAGCGGTGAAAATAGGAGACTTGTGTACAAAACAGAACGCAAGATTAACAATTGTATACCAGCACTTACAAAATAAATGTACACAACGTTAAACCCACTTACTCATCACGCAGAAATATATCATGGGACAATCGTTATCACGTGTTGATTTGTTGTTGAAAAAAAACATGTGTTTACTCATGGACAAATATGCGTGGTTGTCTCAAGAGTAACCAATCGTTAAGATTTGAAAATTCTCATTGTGAACAAATCAACAATGTTGTCTATGGTTCTCCTTGAAGTGTTATATTAGCATCCTCAAAAAATTAACCCTTTTTTGGAATATTTTTCTAAACCTATTACAGTATCTATTCATGATATTGTCAACATCTTTGATTGGGATGAGACTCGAACTTGTGACATCTTTGAGAGATAGCAGTGATGCCATCAGATCATAAGTTATCAATTAAACATTTAAACAAAACTAAGGTCACATTATAATCCATTTTTCCTAGCATTTTTTTATGAATTTCCTAAATTTAGTAATCTCTACATCCCTATTAGACATCTTCTCTTTTCAAATTCTTTTATGAACCATATGGACTAAACTCATAACAATTTACTAATCCATACCCCTACATTTCCATAATATATGCCCCCTTTGCAATTGTTATGGTTTCGCTCTATATTCTATTCGATTTTTGTCATAATCACATTTTTAAATCTAGAAACAATGATAGCTTATTCACTTACCATCGTTTAACATTATATTATACTTGTTCTTTTTTAGTTGCAACATTCCCTTTTTCACGCTTACCAATGCATAACTTTGACCATCATTATATTTAATTCCCTATTAGTAAAAAAAATTTAAAAATCAAATTATGAAACTTTGTAATGAGACGAATTCAACAATATTTTTCAAAAAAATAATAATTCACGTACATTAATAAATAAAATGTAGTCAAAGTAGTGTACATGAATAGTGTGTAAATTTCAATGTTGCAACTAATATGATAAGGAGGGAGCATATCTGACTCTTTGATGAACTGCTTTTGCGATGTAATAATAAAACGAATTTAAATGCTTCGATATGACCACACTAGTAAAAAAACAAGCTTAAAGTGGCACATATATAGTGACACTTTCTGATGACACAAATATATCAATATCACATAATACCAATCATTACAATTTTAATTTTTATGGAGTACTTGAACTATTCTAGTTATGAGCCTCTGGTTTCTAACATTTATACACCTCATTTTCCCCTCCCATCAATTAAGTCTCTTTCCCTTCTTTCTACGTATGATCCCTAACTCTTCTTCACCAGCTCAATCGATTGTCGTCGTTCTTGGTCCGGCCGTGTGACACCGTCTCCTCGCAACCCTTCTTATTCAGCCAATCGAGCGATTCTAGCCTAGCGAACCTAACCCCAGGCCCTTTTTACATTCTCGAGAAAGGATCTTCTCCCCGTTCGAGCGATTATCATCGTGATTAGTCTGGGCTACCAATGAAGCAGAGGAATGGTAGTAGGAAACTCTCTCGGTGAAGCGGTGTCAAAGGGAAGCAACATTGTCAACTAGATTCTGCTTCGGTCATGCCTCTTCTCTTCTACGTGAAACTTCTTAGCACCAAATCTGCTAGTGCAGCGAATCTGGTGAAGGTATGATGGCGACGAGAGTGTGAAGCTGATCCGTGAGGTCAAATCTTGCGACAAAATAGGGGTTGAGTTGGGTTCCTCTCAATCTCACTCTAGCCCTAGCTAACCGATAGAGTCGGTAACTCTTCGCCTTCTCCTTAGGGTTAGGGTTCCAATCTGTGGATTTTTTTTTTAAATTTAAATTTCAATTGTGGCTTATTGCAAATTGTTGGAAGTTTTCTAAATTGAAAGAATTTTATTGCTTGAGTTATGTTATCGGATCAATTCATGTTAGCCAATACCCCAAATTCTTTATACTATATTAGTTATAATACTTTTTATTTTTTTGAGTAGAAGTTGTCACTTGAAAACATTAGTTTTAGATTTTTAAGCCAAAAGCCAAGAAGCGCTTTTTTAAAGCATTTGCAAACACTCCCTACATAGTATACTAGTATAGTACCCGAGCGATGCACGGAAAACTTTTCATGTAGTCATTTATACTCCACAATAATTTAGATCTAAGAAATGAAAATATAGTTTAACCAACGACTTGCCCTATTAAATGTTCGTTTGGTAAACATGTTTTTCAGTCCATGACTCGGAGGCCCCTATCTGGTATGGTCCACGACGCGGCGGTCCCTGTTCGGTCCAATGGATGACCTGACGATTCCTGCCTCGACCGATCCAGGACCAAACGGTACTTGTTCGGTCCGATCGACGATCGAGCAATCCTTGTCCGATCCAGTCTAGTCAACGATTCGGTGGTTCCTGTCCGGGCCGTTCAATGACCCGGTGGTCCCCGTCCTGTCCGACCAGCCACTCGGTGGTCCCCATCCTAGTTGTGTCTAATCTAATCGAACATCGGGCGGTCCCGGGTTAGCCTCATGAACAACTCGGTGGTCCCTGTCCGGGCTGGTCAATGACACGACGGTTTGGTCTCTATTTTTCGAAATCATTTTTTAAAGTGAAGAGTTTTAAAAGAGTTGTTGAGTTCTCAACCAATAGGCAAATCAGAAAAGAATTCATCAAACTAACTGTTGAGATTGATCAAGACCGACATGTTTCGATTCTGAACTGAGACCGTACTTTCGATCTTGTGGTCGGTCACGGAACCATGTGAAAAAATTGTATGAATTCAGATTTCAAAATGGAAAACACAAAAAATGAACACAAAAGATTTTAGATCAACCCAATTGGCCTCCCTCCGGAATGTCCTATCTAGAGTCCATGTCCAATAATGAAGCTTTTCATCTTCTGAAATAGGAATGCACAGTCCGGTTCTAGTACTACCTATATCTTTGATGAGAGAGATAACACTCTGTGCACCCGCTTCAATCTTAAAATCGAGGAACCAGCTTCAATAATCAATTCCGTCGCATGTGATACTGCTATTTGCTCTGCCTCTTCACTGGAGCTTGCTTGGATGAGAAAGGTCGTAGCAGAAATCAGTTCACCCTTCTTGCCTCTCAATGTAGCACCACCCGATGCTTTGTGAGGTAAGAAAGATGTGTCAACATTAAGCTTGAACTGATTGTTTGGTTTAACCCACTTCACAATTCGAAATTGAACCCTACTGAATCTGAAGTTGTGAGGAATAAGTTCTTCCTCATAGAGAAATTTGTCAATAGAGCTACTTTTTGTTTTTGAGAAATTCGAAATCCATTTCTGGGAGTAGATTTTATCTGCTGAACCGTGTATACAACAGATGGAATTGCTATGTTTCCCCACATAAAAGAAGCGTAGATCTTCATATATGCCAAACTGTAATCCCCGGACAATTGTGTTTGAATAAATCAGTCAATTTCTTGGACCCAGCTTCAATCAACCAACAGATGAAAATCTGCTTCACTGAAGCATTGTATTAATTGGGAATATGGATATCATTTTATTTTTTTATGAAAGCTGAAAAAAAAATTCTTGGAGTATTTTTTTACATCGAAATGAGTATTTTTGTAATTTCATAATTATTCATACAAAAATATAACATTCCTTATAATAATTGAATTAAATGTATTGGTATAATAATTGAATTAAATGTATTGGTATAATAATTGAATTAAATGTATTGGTATAGTGATAAATTAGACTCCACCCAATAATGGGTATTTTATTGATAATACCCAATAATTGAATCAATAATGGGTATTTTATTGATAATGTTGAAATGTATGGAATAACGATATTGATAATGTCTAAGCAGGGCCGGCCATAGGGGGAGTTACCCTAGACAAGTGTCTAGGGCCTCCAAATTTTAGGGGCCTCTAATTTATAAAATAAGCTTATTAATATTATTTAGGAGACTTTGTCCGGCCGTCAACATTTGGGATAGTTTCCTTTGTAATTTTTTGATGATTGTTTTTTAGAATCTTATTCATTATGTCTAGTTTACTCATATCAAATTTCACCTAAAAATTCAATCGGGAAGACATTCAAATGAATTCTTGAAGATAACTGCGCAGTTAAAAGCGCAGTTATCTTCAAGAATTTATTTGAATGTCTTCCATGTTGAATTGTTAGCTGAAATTTGGTATAAGTAAACAAGACTTAATGAATAAGATTCTCAAAAAATTTCATCAAAAAATTCCACCGGGAACTGCCCCAAATGGCTACGGCGGGACAAAGTCTCTTATACAAGGGCTTATTTGACCTTTTTGGTTAGTATGTGGGCTTATTTGCTCCTTTTTCCTTTTTTTTTTCTTTGTTGGCTAGGGCAGCAGGGCTAGGGATTTAGGATAATGAGTATTCTAAATATATTTGAATGCTTATTGAATAATTGAAATTGTAATTTGTTATTTTGATTCATCGAAATATTGAACATACTTATAATTTTTTATATTTGATTAAATTTAGTGAATTAAATTTATATCTATGAATCATTAACTTATATTTAGTGATAGTATAATTTTGAATGAAATTTTATGTTTTGTGATGATTGGAAAACAAAATACTATCGTATGAATCAAGATGTACAAAGACAAAGAAAAAAATTAAGAAATGATTTGGTCATGAAATCACTTTCCGGCTCTATCGATCGATATGTTGTATGTAAGCACAAAACCTTCTCCCTCTAGGGCTCTTTGTATTTTTTCATTAACTTTGATCTTCTGATTTGGAAGAATATTCTCACTGTGTTAATAGTATATGATGTATTTTATATGTAATTTACTTATATTTAATTGCTATTTTTTATATCATTGGGTTAAATAAAACATATTTAAAACAAAATTTCTGACCTCATAATTGCTTTAGCCGGTCCCGTGTCTAAGCACTATTTTCATATGGGTAGAGTCCACAATTAAGTTTGTAGACGTCATAGGGATGGGGATGAACTAATGTGTAACTCAAATGGCAAAATTATTTCCTGGAATAAGACCATTTCATTCTCATTTTGTTTTTCATATTGAATGATTGATCAATGATTTACCCATAATCTATTAGGTCTTTTACAATCCTCTCTGCATTTTTTAAGAAGCGTAAAACCAGACCAGATGAGTAGCGGCACCTCATTTCTTCCGATAGAAATCATCTCCAACGTTCTCAAGCGACTTCCGGTGAAATCCCTAATCCGATTCCAAAGTGTGTGCTCTCATTGGAAGGATCTCATCAAGAGCCCATCTTTCATTGCCAGCCACCTCGATCGCTCCAACGGAGAAAATCCCTCTCTTATTTTCAGACGGAGCCCGTTCTCCGATACCTCGACTCTATATTATCTCGACCGCGACATACAACTCTGCCAAGTTCAGAACAATCCTTTTATCTATTCGTTCAAATCCCTCAAGATCGTCGGCTCCTGCAATGGCTTGCTCTGTATTCGAATCGAGGAGCCTGGTACTTTACTGTCTCTTTACTTGTGGAATCCTGCGACTAGAGAGGTTATACAGTTGCCTAGAAGCAGAACAAGCATGAATGTATGTTATATTTGTAGTTTGGGCTTTGCATTCATTCCAACTCTGAACGATTACAAAATTGGAATACCCTATGTGATGCGGGGTGATGTGGTGGAAACTGGATTTGAAGTTTATTCACTATCCACGCGTTCATGGAAAAAAATAGAAATGGCTATCTTAAAGGGCATACACTTTGTCAGTGGTTACATTCATACTAATGGGTCTATGTTTTGGTTGGCAACAAAGAGAGGTTTGGCATCTCATGGGGGAGAGAATACTAATGTCATAATTTCCTTGTGTTTAGCAATGGACGAGGTCAGATTGATACCACCGCCTCCTTTATCCAGGAGCGAAGTTGCTAAGCTGACCGTGTATGAGAACAGGCTTGCCGTATTTCATTATTCAACTGCTTTTGACACAGGAAATACTTCGATCGATTTGTGGGTCATTGAGGAAGGCATTGGTGGTTTTTGGAGTAAGATATTGACATGTGGCCCTTATCCACACTTTGCAATACCGTTGACCATTTGGAGGAACCAAATTGTCTGCGATGTTTTTCCTAGATATTCAGTAGAGGGGAACTATGAGATTGATGCTACTGGTAGTTTTTTGTTTGATCCCACTTCTAATGGAGTCAAGGTCCTTTTTTCGGGCAGATATGGCATTCTTCGTGATGTTTATAGATATGTCGAAAGCCTTGTACCCATCAGCAACATTCACACTGCAAAGCATTGATTTTAAAGCGTAATTATTATTGAATTATTATTATTATACATTGCAGATTTACTGATTGTACTGGCTCCGTAGACGATGATTATTTAATTGTTTGTTCGTAGTTGTAGAACATTCAAAACACCATTTAAAGACGCACACATTTTTTCATAAAAGTTACTCCGTATTTGTTACGGAGTACTTTGTATGTGATCACATTTGCACATACCCTTAATGAATTTGAAATAGAAGATATGTTATTTGACAAAGATAGACAAAAGAAAAGATGGGTGTGAAGAGATGAACCTAGTACCCAATCACTATCATACTACAATATAACAAACACCCAAGATCATTAATTTACCAAAAACAGCGAGAAAATATGAATGCTAAGTGGTTAAGAGGCAAGGCGTTTGCAGAACATCATCATTCATAAATTTAAACTCATTTTAGGAATTAAGAAATAAGAACCTTGTGTTTTAGTTCAAGCAGTTTTCCAACAAGTTTGTCTAGTAGCTGAAACTTGCCACACTAACCAACTATTTGCTCCAGTAGGGTGGGAAGGAATCTAACAGATTAAGAACATAGGTTAAGATTAAGACCATTTACAGGAGTAGAGTACAACAACTGCCAACAAATTTAAATTGAATCATAAGATTGTCAAGTTTCCCCTTGAATCTACAACGCATTCCTGCAAGTATAGAACCAACTTATAAACATAAAATAAATCCTTGATGAAAAGTCAAGTGAATAATATGATGCTATGTATTTCCTCTTTCACACTTTTGTGCTATAAAGTATTCTCTACAGTCTACAACATGATATTGTTACCATACCAGTTGCCACTCTCTCAATAAGATGGTATACAGTCATGATGGCATACAAAATAATTCTTTCTTACGAGGGGGCATTAGCTCGACGTCTGCTTTTATTCTCCATACAAGAAAAGTGCATGATATTGCATGGGGTTTCACAACCACCTGAGTTACTCGAATGTCATCTTTCGAAGGAAATAATTGGTTCTGTAAAGATAAATAAATCACACATTCACACCCCATTTTCTGTATATACACATACTTGTGCTTTTCTATTTTTTTTTCGAATCTTCATGAGTTCCCATACCAAAGAAGTCAAACCTGAATAATCATGAGTGCAACTGTGTAAGGCAATTAGCTCTAAATAAAATATGGAGTAGCTCCACAACTAGTGTACATATTTGGGGCCGCTATCTACAGAAGGAACAAACATAAAAGTTGTGAAAATAGCTCACTCCTCTTCAGTCAGGGATGAATAGTCTGGAGATTCGCCTTCTTTAGTTCTTGCCAGCATTGTTGTTACAACATTCTTTGCCTTTTTGAAATACGGAGTATGAAAATTTGTCAGAACTAAAAACGTGATAGCAAAGTACGAGGTGAGATTAAAGATAGGGATGTTGTTGCTGCATTGAGATATCTCCAAGGGAAGGCAAATCATGATCCCATTTTGTATGCCAAAATCTCAATTGGTAGTGATGGTAGATTGAGGCGCCTCTTTTGGGGAGATGGAGTTAACAACATAATTTTGTTTATTTTGGTGATGTTTTTTCTTTTGAAACAACGTACAAGAAAAACAAATATTACCCTCTTGTTATTTTATCGGGTTGTAATCACCATTTACAAACAAATACAAGTGAAACATATGCATGGGTATTGGAATCTTTTCATAAAGCAATGAGAAACAAGCATCCAAAAGCAGTAGTGACAGATAGCGATAATGCTATGAGGGAGATTTAAAGTTATATTTTCTACATGACACTTGCACAAGAACGCTTGTTAAAATGTGAAGATTTCTCATTTTCTAAAGGATTTCAAGACGGTCATGTTTGCAAATATTACACTAGAGATTTGAGAAATTTTGGTAACATATGGTTGTGCAACATGGCCTTATGGGGAACAAATGGGTTTCCAAAACCTATAATAACAACTGTGTGAATCCATTAATGCAATAATTGAATCATATGTTTGGAAGAAGCGCGGTATTGTTTTTGGGTTATGCATAATTTTGATTAGGCTTTGGGACAATACAGAAACAATGAAGACATTGTTGATTTTAAGTTATCATACACAGCACCAGTCTTAAAACACCGCTTAAGAAGATCAAGGCGGATGCCGCAAACAATTTTTACAAACGAGATTTTTCAAGAAGTGAAAGAGCAAATTATACCGGGTTGTGCACTAATTGTTAAAGAGCGCTTGGTAAATGGAGATCAACTCATGTTCCGATTAAAGAAGTATTGTGATCGTGATTATGAAAATGAAGTATTCTCTCATCCTGCATCAAAAATTTGTGTGTGCATGTAAGCGCTTTGATTCTCACAACATCCTTTTTCACATATTATTTTTGCTATGCAAGAGAAACATGTAGATCATATTTCATGTCATTTAGTAATTTTAATGTTTTAGTCTAAAAATGCTAAAACTAATTTAATGTCCTCTAATTCGTCGAAACCATTAGATCCTAATGCCATTGAGTCTCATTCCAAAGCCTATAGTAGTGCGTGTATGAAGTTTTGCAAGGTTGTCGCAAAAGGTGTGGATTATACAATGAAGTAATGGATGAAATATTGCAGCTTACTAAAAAAGATGTTGGAGATTGAGAAGTTTGACGATCCTATTGGCATAAATGATTCATTACTCAGCACATAGGTGAACGTTGGCCATCAATGACTAGATCATTGGTCATCAATTCGTCCAAAAAACTGTCCGTTTAAGGTGCATTAAAGGAGAAGAACATTGGGCATTAACTGATGTAATGTTTCAGAAGCGGAATTAGAAGAGTTATGTCTGAAGCCTTCTGATTCAGAACAGAAGCGTCTGATCCGGAGTAGAAGGGTGGGTTCTGGTCCGAGCAGTTCCGATGCGGAAAAAGGAACTTTGCAGGAAGAAACAAAAATTAAATCGTATCTTTGAACGATAGATTTTCAGATGACATTCGTGTCCGCAGGTCATCCGCGCACGTAAGTCGGGGTTTTCTTCTCTGTTTTCGGGATTTGATCGGCACCCCCTGCGCGCGAAGAGAGCCTTTTCACCTAAGAATCTTAACTCGTTCAAAGAGGGTTCCTTTATAAGGAGGTGAAAATCCCTTGGGTTTTCCGGTGTGGGAAATATAACACTAGAAATCCATCTTTTTCCCAGCTTTTCTTTTTCAACGAGTGAAATTTGAGAATCAATTTCTCATTCACCCGTTACCCGTTTTGAGTGACCATATATCGAATTGTAACCCTTAACAAGGAAAATCTAAAACTACTTTGACCCGACCCAAATCGAAAGTGGACCCCACTTTCACCTATGTGCTTGAGTAATGAACCATTTGCACTAATAGGATCGTCAAACTTCTCAATCTCCAACATCCTTTTTAGTAAACTGCAATATCTCATCCATTACTTCATTGTATAATCCACACCATTTTGCGGCAACCTTCCAAAACTTCATACACGCACTAATATAGGCTCTGAAATGAGCAAGCTCCATGGCATAAGGATCTAATGGTTCCGACGGATTAGAGTACATTAAAGCAGCTTTATCATTTTTAAACCAACACGTTAAAACTAAATGAAGTGGAATATGATCTACATGTTCCTCTTTCATAGCAAAAATAATATGTGAACATGGAATACCGTGCGACTCAAAGCGCTTACATGCACACAAAAATTCTACCTTTTCAAGTTGAAAAAACACTTCAATTTCAGAATCGCGATCACAACTTTGTTAATCGGAACATGACAAGATCTCTGCTTACCATTCGCTCTTTAATAATTAATGCACAACCCGATATAATTAATCTTTCACTTCTTAAAAACCCTCCTCTGTAAAAATGTTTGCGGCATCCGCCTCGATCTTCTTTAGCGATGTTGTTATCAACGTTGATGTGTATGAAAACAATGTCTTCGTTGTTTCTGTATTGTCTCAAAGTCTGCTCAAAATTATGCGTAAACTCAAAAAAACCGCACTTCTTCCTAATATATGATTCAATTATTGCATTAATGGATTCACATTGTGATGTAGTCCATAGACGACCAAAGAATTGATCCCACAAATATGTTGTGGCTCATAAAAAGTTGTAATTTTTTTACCGGCTTCCACATAGCACTTTCGCTATCAATCACTACTGCTTTTGGATACTTGTTTGCCATAGTTTCAAGAAACATTTCCAAGACATATGGATATGTTTCAATTGTTTGATCTAAAATCAAAGCACAACCAAATTTATATAGTTGTTTGTAAATGGTGATTACAACCCAGGCCACCTCAATCTACCATCACTACCGAATGACAATTTGACATACAAAATGTGATCATGATTTGCCTTCCCGTGGAGATAACTCAATGCAGCAGTAACAACATCCCAATCATTAATCTCACCTTGTACTTTTCTATCAAAATAATTGTACAAATCTTTTATTTGTAAAATCAAAGTTTTTATATCCGCCTTTTGTCCCACCATGTACCCATTATACGACAAGTTCTGATTTCATGGGAATGCAAGGTATCAATCTAGGCTTTTTCGGCATATGTCATTCCACGCTAAACAGGTAATAAATCCACAAACTTTAAAGGGGTCAAATCATGGTTATGAGCCTCTTCGGAACTATAGTCACTATCCAACTAGATGATTTCGAGTTGCAACGTACATTGAATCTTGCGTGACAATTGGTCCGAGTGAGAGTTTTATCTTCTCTTTTCCTATTAGTCCTTGCCAAATGCTTTGAGTTTCGTACGACTTGTCTATTGCATACATAATGTCGCATGATCACATTTTATTATTATTACGACCAACATTATGTTTCCTTACGACAAATCCATACCATTTGGCATACTTGTAAAATTCATAAGGATCCACTTCATTATCAAATTGTAGTGCACCTCATCTATTGTCAGTTTTGAAATCCTTTTAAACTCACCTTCCTCAACACCCATTGTTGGACACTTGGACCTCCCTCATCACTAGAACATTTCTCATTAATCACATGATCTTCTTTTTCAGCGCATGATAAAGATTGTTTTTTGTTCATTAAAATTACCAGTTGCTTCACCGTCACATTCACTCATCTACCAAATAAAAGTGACAACATGTTAAAAAGATTTTAGTAGCTATATATTGTTAT